CCTGAACAACAGTCGTGCAACTCCTTCGAAAACTTATAAAATGAAATTCTGCAACTTTTTTGATAACCGCTATAAGTTAAAATGAAAATAGGGGTAGACTGTTAAGGTATAAATAAATAAACATGCTATGCGTATGTTTCAGGTGAGTTTTCCATTGCAACACTGGAATACATGTGTATCGATTTGGATAGGTGCAGTATAATACTAGTAATAAGTTAATAACAGTACTAAAATTTTCGGGAAAATGAGGCGTTCTTGATTTGATCAATAACATAGATTGCCTCATTCACTAATGAGTGAATTGGTAATATTGAAAATAAAGTTGATATATTTTGATTTACCATGCTTATGATAACCTTAAAACGTTTGAAAGATTTGCAACAATTGCTACATATTGTATATTTTGGAGACAGCATCTACACAATATTCCTAACATACTGTTACGTTGAACGGGTGATTAAGATCGGCGTGGGTAAACTCAACACTTTATTTCTTACTAACTCGAATTTACACGACTAACTATTACAGCGATTATGTACAAAAAATAATTCCTGTGCAACTTGTCTGGATTTTCGCGACACTCCTGGACTCGACTTGTTCACTGAACAATAATCGTTCCCTACGGTGGCCTCTATTTAAACCTACACATTGTTCTCGATGGTTCGAGAACGCCGCTTCGAGGGTTTTCGATAGTGAACGACGCGCCGCCCGATCGATGAGTCATCACCGCCGTACATACCAGAATAAACACATACATACTAGAAGACCCATAGGGGTCGTACCGGGGCGGCGGTTTCGCAGATTATCTATCTGTATTATAGAAAACTACACAGTCGACAAAGGACAGACGACAGACGACAGAGAGAAATGAATTGTGGAGAAAATATGAAGTTGGATGGACCCTATTATAATACTTCCTTAGCTTGTACTTGGAGAGTAAAAAATTTAGAAGCTTCCAGCTTTACATACATAATTACAGACCATACTTTTTCGAAAATTATTGAGCCCCTAAAATTGGCTCTGGCTATGTCAGGTCAGATCAAGTTGATTTAGGTATTACACAAAGTCTCAAAAATATATTATCTAATTATCTTATCATTTATCTCAAAAGAGCCAAATATGTATGTATATTTCTTGAAATTCTAGCCACAAGTTTTGGCCTCTAAATAGTATTATTGAGTAAATTTTTCATGCAAAATGGACCTTGGGATTTACTCGTATATCTTCTTGATCGTATTTAGGATGTGAAAATTTTGCACTGTTTTTGCTACATCTTCACTAAGACATCGAAATGTCAAATCAATAGAAATATTAATTAAAAAATCAAAAAGCCTATGTCGGTGCATAATACTTAGCTACAGATTTATTTAATTAATTACTATTAACACTATTATCAAAAGTTAACTGTTTTATTAAAATCATTGTAGATTGTAAATAAAAATGCGTTCTGATGTATCATGAATTACTGTTTATTTTAAAAAATTTGTTTCGGTATTTAAATAACTTCTGACTTCCATAACTTGACGATTACAGCCTGCGACGACGCAAGAGCAAAATTTCTTGTCCAACTGCTAATTTTATCTTTATCTAAATTTATCATTTTTAATATTTTTACTTCTCAAGCATAAGCTAAGGAAGTACTGTAATGGGGTCCATCCGACGAATGACTACTTTCATGTTTTCTCGATATTTCACAATCCCTAGAGTACGAAAAGGTAGGTTTCGCGTTTCTGGCTATCTGTCTATCTATCGTCTGTCTTGTGTCGATTTTTATTCGGGAGATAATTTCCAAAATTAATGAATCGATAGTTGTTAGATTTTATACACACCTAAGAAATATCGTATAGATAGTAAAACGGTAACCCAAATTTGTTTAATCATTCCAACCCAATGGGATGACATTACCTCCAAAATTTACAATAGTAAATGGTATTTAAATTTGATAGAATAAGATATTCCAGTGCTTGTAGTTTATGAATCCTTTATAGATTTTTACTCTAAACATCCAAATTTTTGGAAAAAAGATGAAAATTGTATGTTAAAATCATCGTAAAACCGAATGCCCTAAAATCTTATTTATCTTAAGCCTGATAAATCACTAATTAAATTTATGCGTTTAACCCCCCCCCCCCCCCCAAATTACTTACGTCATCTCAAAATAGCACCGAAGAAATCCAGTCTAAAATATGCAAAATATTATTACCATAAACTTATGGTTTGTCATTCATAGTTACTATAATTACTCAAAATACTTATATAGAGTGACTCAAAATAATTTTTGAATAAGGCAAGCTATTTTATTGATGAAATCAAGAAAGGCTGACCCCATTTTCACGAGAATTTTAGAATACAGTACTATTATTACTAGCATTACACTGCAAGTATTCCAATTGAATACGTACATATACTTTTTAAATATTGATGACCTCATTACAAAATTTTGTTAGGTAGAAATTTTTGGAAGCTGTATTTCAGAGGCGAGGAAAGTTCAGTCAAAATAAATTACATCTATTTTTTATGTAGTGTCTATAAATACATCGAAATATCTCTATAAAATAAAGAAAATTTGCCGACTCTCAAATTAATCAAAATTTAATTAACAGAATTGACAAATTTTTGACAACCGCAGTTGAAGAAAGCGTAAGCTAAGAAAGTGTTGTAATAAAGGCCACTGGGCGACTGGCTACTTTCATGTTTTCTCGACGTTTCATGACCCCTGTTGTCTGTCCGTCTGTCTGTCGTTATCGATTTTTATTAAACAGATAATCTCCGAAATCACCGTTGTCAAATTTTGTATATTTGTTAAGAATATTAATTATGTAAACGATAAAACGGTAACCAAAATTTAGATAATCATCCCCACCAATAATTTGATAACGTCCCCCATTTTTTTTAAGAAACGCCATTTGAATTTTATATAATTACATATTGGTATATTTGTGGTTGATGCATCCGCCTTGATTTTTTACCCTAAGCATCCAGATTTTCGAGAAAGTGACCGATTGATTCATGGGTCGTAGTATTTTTATTGATTAAATCAAGAATGAATCACTCCTTTTTCTTGAAAATTTGAAAGTACAGTAATGTTGCGACCATCTATATTTTTACTAACAATAAAATAGGGATTATAATAACAATATTCAGAACGTTTTGCTCAATTTTAGCTTAATTAATAATTTTAGTCGCGTCCTTTGACAGCTAACTATGTGCTTAATAGTCGGATTCTTTCAATCTATGTATAAACGTAAACAATCGGAGTTAAACTTGTACGGATAATACCTTTTTCCCGGTTGAGTATGTGCTTTAGGAACGAGGAAAATTCTCCCGTCGTGTTTATTTCTACATGATTTTCTCAGAATTCATAACACAGTCTTTTTAAAGAGTAATTTTCTAGGCAAAGCTTTTTTATGGGTAAGACGTATTCTAGAAACTGCTGATGGTTTATTTGTGTTTATGTTTTATTCCCTTTTTTTTTAGCTATCAAACTTCAATTGATAACATAGTTGACTAATTTAGAGCTGAAAATGTAAGTGTAGTTATCGCATGACCCAATTTTAACAATAGAAAAGACTGCAACAATTATTGATATCAATGATACCTACGCCCTTTGGAGCAAAACGTGTTCATCATCATGTTCTGCTATCAAAATAGTACGGTTCAAGATGGAGATTTCCAGCAAGATAATACAACAGCACATACTGGCCGTACAAGTTTAGATCACCAGTAGAACTCCTGATTGAGAAGCACCTGAATTTTCTTTGTTTGGTTACTTGAAAAATGAAGCTTTTAAAAGAAAAATATGTCATTTGAATGAGGTAATGGAAGAAATTTGCTGTATCAATATTAATAAACAAATGCTTCAAAATTTATTTGAAAATAAATGTAGAAGAGTTAAGGTTTGATTACAGCAAGATGGATGCCATACAGATTTATTGTGACTTAAATTTTCATTGTGAGAATAAAATTGCATACGTGAGAACATAATTTTTGCAAGCGTAAAAATTCCTTAATCTAAAATAGTATTTTTTCCAACTTTCTTCAGTAATAACAATAATAATTGATTTCATCTTGTTGCAGCAAAGCCATAATACCTATTACGTGCGTTTATTTGATATTAGCGATTTAATTATCGTGCATATTTTTCAAGAGCATTGATTTCACATCGGAACTTCATTTCTCAAGTTGTGAATAATATAACCTATCCATCGGAATATAAATCATGTAACAAAAGATTCGTTACTAGAATTAAACGATTTTTGTAAGAGATTTATTTTCACATTCGATTTAAAAGTTTTATTAATACCCATTTCTTTTAGTTGTTTTTTGAGTTTATTAAACAACAGTATGAATTTGTGTACCAATGAATTAAAAAAAAGTTATTATTATTTGGAAACATTCACATTCTCCATGACGCATGATTTGGATCGATATGAACAAAATTGTTTAAATTTTTATATACATGAGTGGCATATTAAGAATAATTGTGAAAAATGTTCAGCGGCTTTCTCGTAAATCTAAACAGAACTTGTTTGTTGCGTCTGGTATTTCTCTGCTGCCGCCTCGATTGACAATTATCTCGCCGCATGCAACAAACCATGCTCTATTCGTAATTCGTGCACAAATTATTGTTAGAGTTAGCGGAATCATTACCCGTGTTCATTTCGACGCCGTATTAAACCTGAGCGAAAACAAAATCTCGCACCTTGCACTCCTTCACGTTAAAAAAATAATGAATGTAGGCCCAACGAGGAGTAGTTGGGTTTTTATCTCGGTCGACGTTTTTCCCGGGACGGTCGGTTCATTTATAAACCAACGTATAAAAAAATCAGATCAATCTGCTTAAACGAAAATCAAGAATCAATTTTCCGTTGACCTGAATGCAGTACCTACAAGTTCAAGGCGGTCGCTTCAAATATTCATACAGTTATTGAGAAAAATTTGATTTGGAGCCGTGGATGTCAGGTTGTATCTGTGTAGTAACGTGACATTGATTTTTCCAGGGCCGGGTTACTGGGGCCTCATGAACCCCCAGTGGAATATGTGCTCGAAGGGAAGGCGACAGTCACCCATCAACGTGGAACCCGAGAAGTTGCTCTTCGATCCCCACTTACAACGCATTCACTTGGACAAACACAAAGTGAGTATAATTTGAATGATAAAAAATAAGGTCTGGAAGCTAAGTTAATGCTTCTCGAAGGGTAAATCCGGTAAATGACTGATTGTTTTTTCGGCCCTTCTTTTTTGTTATTCCTTCGGGCTTTGAATAGCAATGTCAGTGAACGTGTAGCAAAAACAAGATGTGATTTAAACTGTATATAATGGTTTTGATCATTAGCGGTGTCCCGCAACGCATACCCTCTGATTGAATGATAGATGACCCTAGTCGGGGGTGCTTTTATCGCAGCTCTTTTTGTCAAGGGGCGCCTCCTTCCGACAGAATTCGTTCATAGGGCAGAAGACGCTACGAGTGCACGTTTCATTTTCTAAATAAATGTTGTTATTCCTTTAATAACCATAACCAAGTATATAATTTTAAGCGTAGTACAAGAAATATCAAAATAAAACGTTTTCACATAGTACATCAGCGTAATGCTACTTAAATCAGTTAATTCCTAAAATACCAAGCAATACTATTAACTAAAACTTTTGAAAATGAAGCTGCGCTGACTCATATTCAATTATTCGCACCGACATTATTAAAAAATAGCAGCATACTTTTTAAATACCTGAATTATTAAAATACAGAGTTTGGCTTTTTTTAAATCAATAACTATTTAGTAATACAGATTGTTCCATTTAAATTAACGATGAAATTAATACTTCGAATTTGCTGCTCACATGGAAATTAATAATTACATCATACTAACGAAAATCTATATTATACAACTTTAAGCTATACTTATTATATTATCAAATAAATATTCTGTCATATGACCGAAAAAATAAGTCATCTAGTTAACTATGGAATTAATTTAAAAAAAAAATGTGTTGACAAAACGGCCGCACTATCTCAGCTGTTCACTTCCGACGTTAAGCGAAATTGTTGGCAAAATTTTTCGTATTAAAGAGGAAAACCATTTTCGTCTTTCGGTAACAACTTTGGACAACAAAAATTGTATGTACTATTTGGAAAATTAATACAATAAATATAATAATAACACAAATGTCAAACTGGAGAACAACAGACAGTACTACCATCACAATTTAAAAAAAAATAATTCCATGGCTGACCGGACGACGTTTTTCTCGATCATATCACATATATTTGATATTTGAAGAGGTAGAATTATGAAATTGGGAATGATTAATGATTGATATAAAATATTCATAAAGTGGCAATATCTTTGGCGTTATATTTGTGCTGCATTTTTCAAACAACATCAGCTTTTTTATTTCAGGGTATGCTTTTTATGCGCGTTGGGTTTTTAATCAGTGATTTAAATGTTTGTAATATACAGTGTGTCCAAAATAAAATTCGGCGACTTTGTGTCTTGAAGTCTGATGGGGTTGTTGAAATTGTGTAAGCACCATTCTTTTTAGTTTGAAAGGAGAAGTTTAATTTAGTACATTATAAAAACGGCACATATACCTATGTTGTCTCAAGCGCTACGAGCGTAAACTAAGGAAGTATTGTAATCGAGTCCATCGGGAGATTCACTACTTTCATGTTTCTCGCCATTTCTGACCCTTAGAGTACGAAAAGATAGGCTTCTTGTTTCCGTCTGTCTATGTGCTGTCTACCGTTTATCGTCTGTCCGAAACTACTCAACCGATTGCTATATTAGGAATATCTTATAGATCGTGTAACGCTAACCAAATTTTTTTCTATTCATATCCACCAACGTCGTTTCCAACTGTTACAATGATAATTGTTATTTAAAGTTTAAATAACAAACTCCTGGATGTGTGATTTATGAACCCATATTTTTGGAAAAAAGTCAAAATTATGTAATATTTTCCAATTTAACTTTGAAACTACAAAACCGAATGCTCTGAAACCTTACAAACGTTTTACGGTTATCGTAAGCACAGTACATCGATAATGAAAATTTATCTGTTTATCCCCTCCCAAAACATTTTGAATTGCAGTCATCTCAAAATTTGTAAATAAATCTACACAACATTGTCTATTCTTGTAATTTATCAATGCATTAATATTTTTTAAAATTGCTTAAGGAAACTCAAAAAAAAATTAATCAGGCGAGATGAGGGTACAGTTATTATTATTAATTTGATATATAACATTGATATACGTCTCCTTGTTAAAATGTTAATAGTGTCATCAAAAAATTTATATGTGGAAAAACTCACTAAAAACATATGCATACGATGCTTCTAATGTATAAATGTACATTAACAATCCACATATATATTAATTTTAGCTCATAAGAAAAACTCATCATTAAATTAAATTCCCAAAGTTAAATTTTATTATTTTTCAAAGCTGTATTTATTCTATTGTATTTTAAGGGCGAGATAAGTTCTGTCGAAATAAACTTCGACTAATTTTCTTAAACATATGTACTTGATATGTTTTAACGGATGTTAACAGATCATTAAATTACGACTATAGTAATGATGCAAAAAATGTGATTTTGATTGTAAAAATATAAATTATCTAAACAAAAAGATATATCGAATTGCCATACATTGTCATGGAAACAGATATGTAAACACAATTACATTACAACTGTTCATTTTAATGTCAGAAATTTTGGACTAACGTAATATTTCTTTGCTGCCGGTCGAAAATGGTAAACTTTTCTAAATTCTAAAAAATATGTATTATGAAAATAGGATTGGTAATAGAGGACCTACCCGATGGCCAGCTCTCAGCCCAGATTTAAGGTCCTTATATTTATGGTTGTCACCATACGTATAAGAATTCATGTATATGCGACCATGGTATAATTTAGAAGATGAAAAGACAAAATTGAAAAAAATTACAGCAATGATAGTCACTTGAGTCTTAATTTAAACTTAAAATATGACACGACTATGGCTAGAATCTCAGAGATTATTTTTTCATAAATCTTGATACATATCACTAATAGTATTAGTCTTGCCTGAATACCGGTCATCTCTGAGGCAGCGGTGAGTTTTAGGTAATAACAATAGTCAATTCTCAATTAACAATTTCCTATAAGCAAGTCAAGATTACAAAAATATACAAGGAAGCCTACATATTGTAATAATATTCTGAATGTTGCAGACTCCGTTTTCATGTACTTAGGTACTTTGCTGGAATAATATTAATAATAATCATAATAATTTATTACCAAGTTATATATTTCTAATTACAGGAAATATACGCAAATAAAGTGATAAAATAAATAAAAATAGACATCTTCCACAAAATAGAGTTTTTTCTTTTGCAATACTGTACGTTGTATTCTTATTTTAATTTACAAATTAAAAAAAATGCCCCGAAGGTTATTCGGACAGAAGTGCTAATAAATAATAGGAGTAACAGTTTTGTATTCCCAAATTTTCGGGAAAATGCAAAACATTCTTGGACGCTTGATTTAATCAAAACAATAAATTGCTTTTTTTTTTGGGGTCACCCTGTGTACGTAATTCTAAATAATATGAGTGCATTGATAAGTCACAGTCATAATATTTTGCATATTTCGGAGATGATTTATTCGGCAAAATTTTTAAGATGATGTCATAAATTTTTTGGAAGGGAATAAACGAATAAATTAACCTTAAAACGTTTGCAAGATTTCAGAGCGTTAAGTTTGGCAGCTTCAAAGTTAAATTGCAAAATGTTATACAATTTTGATTTTTTTACAAAAATCTGGATACCTAGGGTAAAGGGTATGGGATTAGCAAAATTTTGGTTAGCGTTTTACCATATACATGATATTGACACCAATCGGTCCGGTAGTTTCGAAGATTATCTGCCTAATATATATCGACACAGACAGACAAACCGACAGAGAGACAGACAGACAGAGTGATTGTTCGTCCTTTAGGGATCATGAAACGTCGAGAAAATATGAAACTGGCAAGCCACCCGATAGCTTACGCTCAGGAAATAAGAATACATTAAAAAAAATAGAGATTCTTTCGGCAACCACATACTGGGTAACATGAATTTGAAATCTTTACTTTCTGATATGTCGTACCTAGTACTAGCTGTGTTAATAAGTGAAGCAAACAAGAAGTAGTACCTGTCTGTTCTGTTGGAATCAGTGGTAAATTGATAAGATTCGATAAGTTTGTCTATGGTAGTGAAAAAGGAAGGATCAAACAAAAGTAATGTAGGAAAAAATCACATATAAAATCATTTTGTAGATTTTACAGTTTATTGAAATGGTTTATTTATTATTATTATCAAAAACAACACCAATACAAACATGGTTTGATCCTTCCCATTTCAAAATCATGAAAAACTCTCAGGAAAGATTATATAACAAAACAGTAATTAATTTTTTTCAAAGCGTTGATTTTACGATGAACACCCAGTCGGCGTTATTTCAGCGTAGCAACAGTCTTAAATTATTTTTACTAAGGGCTGCTTAAAAAGTTTTCAGATTAAAGTACCCTATGAAACTATTTTCCATTACATAGATTAACCCGGTAAACCTTACAAATATCAATGTTACCAAATCGAAAATGTTAAAATCGAAATGGGAAGCCACACAATTCAAATGACTTAATGTTGGAACAACAAATTTAAAATTAACTTCTTGCCGCTTCTTGAGTTGAAAAATACACCTTGCTTTATTCGACATTAATTTGACAAATTTGAATTTTGAAGCGTAAGGTTTAATCAAAGAAGTCAATAATATATCCATAGCCTACCGTAATTTGAAAGATTTTTTGATCAGTTGTCAGGATATATAGCACGTGGAAACAGTCTATGGTTAAGCTTTGCCACAAAAAAGATTGAGAACATGAAAAGGAGATGGAACCTTCAGTAAGAAATGTGGGCGATTCCCGAAAAGTGAAAACTTTTTTCTTAAAGATCACCTTTAGTTCTTACTGCAGTAAAAGCTGTGATGCAACAGCTACTAAAGTTTACCAAAACAATATAAATTTAGAACAACAATTCCAGTTTTAGTCATGATTCTCGAACATACAACATCTAGTTTTAGCTAACTAATTAATTAATAATAGTTTTACTCCTCTACAATTTTGTTCATACCTCTAGCGAGAAAAGCTTTCTAAAACTGCGTGCCTTCACACTTTCATAAAGCGCTGCTTTTCATTCCTGTTACGAAAATAACCACTACGTTTTTTTTACATTTCTTCTAATACCACTAATGATTATAATACCTTCCTTTAAAAAAACACCCTTGTGTGCCTCGTATTCGTACTCGCCCTTCCCCTAACCAACCATTTGCCACAAAGTTTCGATTTCCTCCGGCCTCAATTAAAGTGAATCGGATTTTTGGCAGGTGAGCGGAACGCTACACAACACAGGACAATCGTTGGTCTTTAGGGTAGACAAAGACACCAAACAACACGTGAACATTTCGGGGGGACCCCTCGCCTATAGATACCAGTTTGAGGAAATATATATACATTATGGAGTCGAAAATCAACAGGGAGGATCCGAACATCACATACACGGATATTCGTTTCCTGCAGAGGTAAGAATTATTGTTATTTTAAATTATTTCAACTCCTATTGATTTCGTTGGATTTGAACAAACACGAGTTGTCCCTTTCTCAAAGGATTTACCCTTATATCCGTAATGCGATTCGAATTAGCCGATAGCGTGTCGCATTTAATTACAAATTAATGTATTTTGTAACTAAGCCTGTTAGAAATAATGAACCGTCAACTTCGGACGTGTAATAATAAACAAAAAACATTTAAACTGAATGTCCAATTTGTGACAGATTTTCTGCTCAAGTACGCCAAATCCATTATAGTAAAACCAATAACCAAATACACCACCAAATAACTAACAGCGCATAATGACTCAAACGTGAAAATTACACCAACTCACGTACCTAATGACACTGCTTTAATCACGTTAAATAATTGGACCACTACGGTTGTTATATTTACGGGAAAAGTTTCCAATACAAACATAAATGACATACGGGTCGATAACGGTAATCATTGCTGTAATTATTGCTCTTAATTTATACTGCATTATTAATTCGGGGATTATTTTGATCAATCGACGAGTCTTAAATTAGAACAACAAACGCAAATGATGTACAAAACCGTTTAATTGGTAAGAGGTTTATTACACAAAGGCCGTTTTTTCTACGGAAAAATACCCCCCTATCAATTTTTTTCAAATTTGCAACACTTAACAAGAATAAAATAGTTAACATAATTTAACATGTTGTGTGCACTGACATTAATTTGAATTTTCTATTTTTTATTTTTTCAGTAGACAGCATACGATTGTAAAATATTTAGATTTTGAAATTTTTATTTCGCTGCCAGAAGGATTGATTGTAAAATTTATCAAATTATTAGTTATTATAGAAAAGCTGGGGCTCGATCTTCATTTTTAATTCTTAATACAGCTTTTGAGAAATATCAACTGAGATATTGACGTCAATTTTGCACCTCTAAATTTAGACATACAAAAATATTTATTATATAAATGAATTTACGGATTGAAACCAACATTTTTCGAGACTGAGCAAATAAAAATTTCGTTGAGAATATTTAGTTGAACGTGTATTTTAAAACTTAATAGAAAATCTGGCACAGCTTGGATGCGCAATATAATGATACGCTTCACCACGGTAAATTGCTTCTGACTTAAATATGGAAAAACGTTTTAAATAAATAAGAAGCTAAATGCAGTCTCAATTTTAGAAAGTCTGGAACAGATAGATAGATGTGAGTGTATTTAACCAACAAAAGTAAATGTATGTCACAGTCAAAAACTAAAATTAGATTCGTTGAAAAACCTTCCCTTAAAGGCTGATATGTGATATATGAAAATATATAAATACTCAGACGTATTTCACAGCCGACGTTTGAAATTCGATTGTTTTTAAATATAAGGAATTTGAAATAGAAATACGTTTTAGTGTACGCTTTCGAATTGTATGTAAATGAGGAAAATGGATCGGGCTTTTACAACATAAACATGTAGAGAAATACAGGATTGAAATAAAAATTTGATATGAACGTGGTGAATGGATTTGAGCACGTTCATATGTAAATAATATGAATATGAATTATGAAAAACGAACTTATGAAAAATAAACGAGCAAGTTATAAATGATGCAAAATACGGTTTCATTTTTTTTTTTGAAAAGTTTTCTTTACTGTCAAAATAATCATAAAATATGGAGATTGTTTCACAATAAAATTAAACAGAAATTAATCCTTTAGTTGAGAGGGAAAATATTTATCTTAAATTAGAAATCGACGTTTAATTTTAGTTTTTATTTAAAAATGTTATTCAGGTATTTTGTATTTCTGGCACTTTTTACTTCCCCAGCGTAAACGAAGGAAGTATTGTTGTAGTGGAGTCCATCGGCGATTTGCTACTTTCATGTTTTCTCGACGTTTCATGGCCCCTATAGTACGAAAAAAGTGATTCTCGTTTTCGCCTGTCTGTCGTCTGTGTCAAATTTTCTATGTACATTAGGAATATAATGTAAATCCTAAAACGCTAACCAAAATTTGGCTAATCATACCCACCAAGAATTTTATAACGACCTATCAAAAATTTTATATTAAAACTATTTAAATATAATATATTCCTACACTTGTGGTGTACGAATCCGCTTTGCGTTGATCAACCTTTATACTAGTAGGGGCAGTCTAATTACATCTCCGGAGCAGTGTTAAGTTGGTCTCCGCTTTCTAACCGCTTTTTTATCTTAAACTGTGGCTGTTATTATCTATATTTTTGTATTATTATTTAAGAATGGTTCACCCCGATGTTATATTATTAGTACACTGCACGTGTCGGAATTGACAAACGTGTCCTTAATAAATAATGTTAATCGAAACATTTTCAAACGGGAAAACTCGCTAGAAATACAGGCCCTTTATTAATGCACGGCTTATCCTATGAGGCAGGTCAGCCAATACCTCAGCAATGAACTCGCCCTTTACTCTTATTTTTGTTGTTTCTGACCGATACATTTCTGGCCAATCAAATTTTCTAAAATATTTTAAAAATAAATGTGAAAAATTAAACAGGTCAAACGATTATATATGATGTTCGACCTTAATTGTACTAGTCTTCTCATCAGAACATTTCTTTATCTAACTAGATAGACGTTTAAAGAAATATTGTTCCGTAGCTGAAAAGTATGAATATACATATACGCGTGTACAAAAGAAACTATTAAGCGTATATAATGTTTATGGAAGGTGGACTGCAGAATGGTGTCTGAAAAGGTTGTGTCAGAGATCAGAGGTCGCTGGTAAAACCTAGCAAAAGTTTTGGACGTCCTGCGACCTGGCGAATTGTATCTAGGGTAGTGCCTCTACGAGCGGCGGCGGAAGTGCTGGTATAACGAGTGGAATATGCTGTATATATATTTGTCTCAATTCCCGCTGTTTGTAGAGATTGTTTTGTATACCTACCTAAAATGTTCACCGAAGCGCGAGTATACGATTTCCGGAAAATAATAAAAAGGTAATCTTCCTTCCCTCTTAAACTTTGAGTCCCCTCGAAATAGAGACGAATGGTGGTAAAGCCACACAGATGCGTTTCTTCTGTAAAGATATTAAATTCAAAATTGGGATAAATGCCACCTCTTAAGGAGGTCTTAGTAGGGTCCACCACTGTTATTCAAACCTTGGAAGCAGTAAAACGCGGACAAGAAACACGAAGCAAGGATCAGGTTTGTATTCTGTGAGCTGTTGTGAGGGCCAATAAGGTAGGTCAACAGTTTTGGTGAGAGTTCACTGGCAGGAGGAAAAGTCCCCAGATACTGAGGAACTATTGCGGGATCCCAGGTTGTTATAAATCTCGCTTTGTTGGCCTTTGTCGTTTAACCCGTTTCAAAAAAGCTTTATGTAAATGTTATTACCAACATCGTTATGTGGTGGTAGAGCAAGGGCAGAGCGGTGAGAATTAAATGTGCCATATTTGTGTGCCGATTTATCCAGTAAGTGGTGGACAAAACTCAAGATATCAACATGTATAGCACAGAAAAGAGTTACGCCTTTTTGATTACAGTAAGTCCACCACAGTTTGTAGGTGACCTGATACTGTTTTAATGTGGTTGGAGCCAAGGAATTTATCATTGCTTCGATGATTGACTCTGGTAAATTTCGTTGGTTATATGCCTGCCCGAGACAAGTCCTGCCGTCACCATAAGGGAATCTACCAGTGGGTTAACTAGACTGTAAGGAGGAGAAAGTAGTTCAGTACTGAGTCCCAAATGTATAGGATTACTAACAAGTAACCTTTTTTGGAACAGTGGGTACCACGGTTGAGTGGGCCATTCTGGAACTACCAAGATATCCTCTGCTCTGTCAAGAATTATCTTATTTACGATTATCAATATAAGCTAAAAAGGTGGAAACGCACAGAAAAAGAATTGGCTCCATGACAGCGTAAATGTGTCTACCGCGAGCGAACCGAGGTCTAGAGATCAGGGCACATATGTGGCGCATTTATGGTTTAGGTAGGATGCAAATAGGTCTATCTCAGGATTACCAAATGTTGTTCTTATGGATCGATACGCCTTTTCAGATAGTTCCCACTCGGTTTCATTTGACAGAAACCGAGATGCATGATCTACTAAGTAATTATCTTTGGAACCTACGTATGCAGCGTAAATCCAGAGCTCACGAGTCTCACACCCTTGCCAAATCTGTCGAGCTAACCTATTCAAATGAAGGTGTTTTATGCTACCTATTCTATTAATGTAGAAGGGTGACAAGAGTTGACCCTTACAAGGCGTACAGAGAACTACTACCTGTAGTTGCAAAAGTTTTTTAGTACACTCTTTAAGGGATGGCGTCAGTTCTGAACGGGTTCTCAAAAATTCTGGTGAATGTTTGTGCATATAACCCTAGACTTACCAGCAGCTGGCTTTGTACTAATACAAAGTGGGAATCCTTCTTGACATTGGACAGAAGGGCAATGATCGCAACCTCAGGGTTTAACTGCGGGACTTTTAATCCAGACGTTTGCGGGAGCTGAAACTTAGTTAACAGCTCTGTTTTCACCTCAGGGGCCAGACCGTACTGCAAATGAAACGATCGGTTTTCCAGTTGTCTCGGTATAGTGATCTGGCATTGTGAGGGAGTGGTGGGATCCTACACCCAAAACCGCAAGGAATTCCTTAGGTAATTCCTCGGGTACTAATAGTGATAATGCCGGCGGAACACTTCCCTGAGGGGTGTTGACCTCAGCATGGTGGGGTGCCGGAGTCCAATCAGGCGATTGCGCATTAGGCGATGAACGCGATCAGCTGCGGCGATGATAGCGGTCGGTGATCAGCTGTTCTAACGCCTTAACGCGTCGGAACAGCTCACGGTCTGTAGGTCCAGAGTCCCGCGACCTTGACGAATGTGGCCATTTGTGGCGTTTTTGGAGTTTTTCTTTTCCCATTATGCTAAGGAAAAGGTATTAACACCCTAAAAGGGAATAATTAACAGTAGGTACCTGAAAAGTGTCTGCAAGCGGTAACGTGATACGTG